CATTGCTGAGAAGCTTGCATTTCACGTCACGTCTACGTCGTCACGACGGCAGATCCACTTTCTTTACACGGGTTTGGTCGCTCGACTCCGGCTCGCCTCAAGCAGGAACTTGTGTCAGAGGGCTCTCGAGACTCGATACAAGAAGCTATCTGCCAAATTCGCTGCGAGTTACCTTCCGGAGCCTCAGGAGAAACAGGACTGAAGTGGCCATCTCCTGGCGAAAGGGTCTTGCTTGAGCAATACCAACCCAATCACAACATTATCACCACTCTGCGAACGAGAAGATGGGAGGAAACCAAACCTAAGAACAAGCATGGAGGGTGGCCCCAAACGCCGCTCCAAAATCCCGGGACGGAGCCTGGCACTGTGTTCGCGGCGTCTGTGTCCCGCTGTCGGATGCCCCTCCACTGGCGCAACCGGCGAGCGACAGGGCCCAGAAACACCTGGAGATCTCTAAGGCAAGAACGTTTTGCAAGAAACCTTGCTGCATTCCGGCCAAATGCGATGCGACCGCGTGATCCGTGCGGACATGTCCATTGTTCTGGCGATCACTGAGTGTTCGGCGTACTTCATGACAAAATGCTGAAGGGATGTGAGTAAGGCAAGGATGCCCCAAAGCTTCCACTTGAAGTCGCCAGAGAAGCCTTCTACTTGATACGGTACATGATGAAGATAAGTGCGCAAAGTACACAAGCAGTTCCTTGAAAAACTGTTAAGGCAATCTAGGAGCAGTTGTTGGGACCGATGCAGGCTCCGACTTTGAAGCCTTTGCCAGTGCTGATGTTTAGGTGATCGAGTGGCAGGTGTTCCAGCGTAGCTGTCGGAGGAAGGCAGCCGTTGTCTGGCGAAGGCAGCCACGGGGAATCTCCAGCTTGGGGCAGATATGATGCGTGATTTTGCCAATACTTCACCTGCAGACTGCAGTTGTCACACCTACCGAGACAACATCTCTGAGTCCAGAAACGACGCATGCACTCCGCTGAGAAAGCCGCCTAGCACGACACTTTGCGACTCTCGGCCGGTAACCGGCCTGGCCTGAGGCCCAAGGAAGCATTCGCCGACACCTCCCACGCTGATGTCATCGAGAAGCGGCAGCGAACTGCAAGCTAAGGAGCTCCTTACTGTGCCCCGCGGTGCCCCGTTGCTCCGTTGTGTTGAGATATTCGAAGGCTCTAAGGAACAAGCCTGGAAGTGAAGCGACTAAAATCAGCCCAGGATCGGTGTGTCACAATTCACTCGGAAAATGCAATTCAAATGATTTGGAGTGGAAAAGATGAGAAAGCTCGCAAGACACAGACTAGAAAGGTACGCTGCGCAGATGCCCCAATTCTGCAAGATGCTTCTGCGGAAGTTGCCGCCATAGGTGTTCACATAAGACGTATTCGCCAGAGCGACGAAGACACAAACAGCACAAACAGCACCATCATAGTTGTCTCCTTTCAACATCCAAAGGTGGGGAAGAACGGAGATGTCATTTATTGGATCCAGGGGATCGTACCATGCTTCTGCCTTCAACACGCAGAACGCGCAGCCGAAGAAGAGCCAGTTCAGGAGGACTTGCGAGGCGATAGTGAGAAGAGTTCTTGCTCCCAGCAGCGTCGCGGTGGGTCGGACCTTTGCCAAACACGATAAGGCTTTGGATTGCGTCATGAAGAACACCATGATCATCCCAAAGCCGATGTCCTTCATCAACCATACCCACTCTCCGATAGTGACATTGTGCGCAACATGGACCGTTGTCATCAGGCCAGAAAGAGAGAAGGCCTGCACGATGAAGTAAGCAAAGGTGGCCAAATTCGTTGCCAAGCAGGCGCGTCCTTCTCGAATGAGGTCTGGGATGGTAAGGAGTGAGATCTGACCATTGCTGTCGTCTTGAGAGCCTTCTTCAAGTCTCCCAGTTGAGAAAGGAGCCACCAAGGAAGCTTCTGCACCAGACAATGCTATGCCAACATGCGCCGCGCGCAAACCTCCACAGTCGTTGCCTCCATCGCCGGCCATTCCGACGACCAGACCTTGACGCTGAAGATATGCAACAACGTTGATCTTATCATCCGGCTTCATCCTACCGAAGACAACGCAACGCTGCCAGAGCTTCTGTAGCAGAAGTGGCTCATTCTCCAAAAGATGATGCCATGCGCTGCAGCTGAGGGCAA